AAAATACAATAAGAAAAACACCAAAGTAAACAAAACGAAGGAAAAAAATCATATGATCATTTTAATCGATGCAGAGAAAGTATGTTACAAAATTCAACACCCTTTCATGATGAAAGCTTTCAACAGAGCAGGTATAGAGCAAACATATTTTGACATAATAAATGCCATATATAACAAGCCCACAGTTAACATCATACTGAATGGTGAAAAGCTGAAAGTTATTCCTCTAATATCTGGAACAAGGGAAGGATGCCCATTCTAACCACTTCCATTCAACATATTACTGGAAGTCCTAGCCAGAATAATTAGGCAAGAAAAAGAATAAAAGACATCCAAATTAGAAAGGAGGAAATAATATCACATCTATTTGCAGATGATACAATCTTATGTGTAGAAAACCCTACAAATCCCATCAAAAAACTGTTAAAACTAAAAAATGAATTCAGCAAAGTTGCAGAATACAAAATTATACACAAAAAAATCTGTCGCATTTTCTATACACTAATAATGAACTATCAGAAAGAGAAATTAAGAAGATAATCCTATTTATAATTGCATCAAAAAGAATAAAATACCTAGGAATAAATTTGACCAAGAAGGTGAAAGACCTGTATATTGAAAACTACAAGATATTAATGAAAGAAATTGAAGAAAACACAAATAAATGGAAAGACATTTCATGGTCATGGATTAGAAGAATTAATATAGTTAAAATGTCCATACTACCCAAAGCAATCTGCAAACTAAATGCAATCCTTTTCAAAATTCCCAGCATTTTCACAGAAATAGAACAAAAAATCACAAAATTTGTATGCAACCATAAATGACTCTGAAGAGCTAAAGCAATCTTTGGAAAGAAGACCAAAACTAGAAGCATCAATCTCCCTGATTTTGAACAATATCACAAAGTTGTACTAGTCAAAACAATATAGTATTGGCATAAAAACACACACAGAGATCAATGGAATGAAACAGAGCCCAGAAATAAACCCACACGTATATGGTCAATTTATGACAGAGGATCCAAGAATATACAATGGGGAAAGGACAGTCTTTTCAAAATATGGTGCTGGGAAAATGGGACAGCCACAGGCAAAAGAATGAAACTGGACTACTACCCTACATCATATACAGAAATTAACCCAAAATGGGTTAAAATATGAGTGTAAGACTTGAAATCAGAAAATTGCAGAAGAAAACATAGATGGCAAGCTCCTTGACATTGGTCTTGGCAATAATTATTTTTGGATTTGACACCAATAGCAAAGGTTACAAGAGCAAAAATAAACAAGTGGTACTAAATCAAACTAAAAAGCTTCTGTACAGAAAAAGGAAACCATCACCAAAATGAAAAATCAACCTACTGAATGGGAGAAAATATTTGCAAATCACATATCTGATAAGGGGCTAATATTCAAAATTTATAAAGAATAGTTCAATTCATAGAAAGAAGTAAAATGGTGGTTTCCAGAGGCTAGGGGGAAGAGGGAAATGGGATGTTGTTGTTTAATGAGTATAGAACTTTAGTTTTGCCGGATGAAAAAGTTCTGGAGGTTGATTGCACAACAATGTGAATATACTTAATACTACTGAACTGTCACTTAAAAAAATGATTAAGATGGTAAAATTTATGTTGTATGTATTCTACAACAGTTAAAATTAAACAAAAAAATTTAATTTAAAAAGGAGGAATCAAATGTTAAGTGCTGGAAATACTGCAATTAGAAACCAGTGATCCAATTGTAGCAAATAGTTTAAGTCAGATATACAGGAGAACAGAGACAATGTTTGCTAGGCCAAGTGCTGAAGAATAACATTACAAGCTAACCAATTGCTCATAAATTCTCCCAGAAAACTGAAAAGGAAAGAACATTTCCCAACTCATTCTTTGAGGCCAGCATTACTCTGATAACAAAACCAGATAAAGACATAAGAAAATAAACTATAAATCAATGTTCTTCATGAACATAGTCACAAAAATGCTTAACAAAATATTAGAAATTAGAATCAAATAATACATTTTAAAAAAGACATTATGAACAAGTGGAATTTATTCCTAGAATGCAAGGCCGATTCAAAACTTGAAAATTAATAAATGTAAATCATTATATAAAAAAATTAAACAAGAAAAAGCATACAGTCATCTCAATAGATGCAGAAAAAGCAGTTAACAAAATTCAACATTTATTCATGATTTTTTTAAAAAAATTCTATAACAAACTAGGAAGAGAGGATAACTTCTTCAACCTGATGAAATGCATTTACAAAAAATTTACAGCTAGCATATACTTAATAGTGAAAGTCTAAAGTGCTCTAAGGATTCTGCTCTAATAATTTTTACTCAACCTTGGATCAAGGTCCTACCCAATGCAATAAGGTAAGAAAAGGAAATAAGAGAATATTGATTGGAAAGGGAGAAATAGAAGGTTTCTATTTACAGACCAAAAAAAATATCTGTGTAAAAACTCCCAAAGACTCTATAAAAAAGCTACCAGTATACAAAAATCAAAATCATATTTCTATACACTAGCAATAAACAACTGGAAATTGAAATTTAATAAAACAGTACCATTTGTAATTATACTAAGAACATGAAATAATTGAGTATAAATCTAACAAGTGCAAGATCTGTACCTTGAAAATTACAAAACATTGATGAAAGAAACCAAAGAAGATCTAAATAAATGATGACAATTCTCAGCACAGACAAGGAGGTAGAGCCACTGGAACTTTTATACTATCCTGGTTGGAATGCAAAATAGTAAAGCCACTTAAGATAACAGTTTGACAATTTCTTATAAACATATGCTACCATATGACATAGCAATAACATTCCTAGGTATTTTGTCAAGAAAAATGAAAATGTATGTTTATACAATAAT